CCTGGCTGGTCTGGCAGGGCTGAAAAAGTTTATTGGAAGGGGTTCAATGAAATCCCTGAATCGGGTGCCGAGTTTGACGGCCTGACATTTTGGGCCAAGAAGACGGCGATGGATGGTGTGGTGGTGTCTCGGACGGGCGGCTGTGGCTGAGGATGAGGCTTTCGGTCTCCGGAATGACTCGGAGTTAAATACCTTATCCAGTGATGCTGGATGATATCATCAGCGTAGACAGTCGTCATCGATTTTCGAGCAACAGGGCTGCTGCGACGCATATTTATCTGATTGCTGCGGTCGTCCCGACCCTTCCAAGCTAAAGGTTTGATGGCCCACCCTGTCCTAGCTTACACAAGTGATACCTACTCCGTACATACCAACCTTACCCAAGATTCTACCACCAACCACACAATGCAAGCCGCAGTCAACTGGCCTCAGAAGTACCACCCGGGTACAACCGACAACTTCGTCTCCAACGAGGTCTACGTTCCCGGTACAACCGTCGAGCGCGTCTGGGACTACCTAGCCACCATCACCAAATGGGAGTCCTACTACGATAACGTGGGCCAGATCACCCCGCCAAGCTCCGGCCCTGTGCTGCACGAAGGGGACAAATTCTCGTTCTCCACCTTCGGATTCCCCCCGCTCCAGGCCGAAGTGCACGAGTCGGTGCCGCCCACAGACAACAAGCCGGGAAGACTCGCGTGGCGCGCCTGGCAGGAGGGCGACGAGGACACCGCGCTGGATATTTACCATGCGTGGATCGTGGAGAAGACCGAATGGGGGGTGATCCGCATCCTGACGCAGGAGTCGCAGATCGGGAAGCCCGCCGCGCAGCTGGCGACGCAGAAGCCGAACCCGATGTTGAACGGGCACCAAGCGTGGTTGGATGGCTTGGCGGAGATTGCGCGGTCGGGTTGATGGTGACAGAGCGCATGATGGGTTTTGTGCTTGTTGACCATGTTGGCCGTCTGCATCTACTCTGCGCTCAGACCGTGCCTTCATAGATGTCCCAATCTAAATAATGTGTAGTAGGATTATTGTGTTGTGATTCTTGCTGTGTCCGTGTTTCGGAATGTACTCGTTCATGTCTAGTATAATCATCTCTATTGAGTGTGAACATTTCAAATCCCATGTCTCCACCAGCAGTGCTCTGCAGAATCTCTCCAGACATTCCGCACTACCACCTCTTCCACCTACAACCCCAGTCGTCATCCTTTTCACACCCGGTCCTCCCGCACCATGTTGCGATACGGGTTATTCGGATCCTGCTCCTCCTCCTCAGCGGATGGGATCGTCTTGCGCACGCGACAAGGGTTCCCGACCGCTACCGAGAAGGGAGGAATATCCTTGGTGACAATGGAGCCGGCGCCAATCGTCGACCCTTCCCCGATAGTGACGCCCGGGAGGATGACCACGTTCCCGCCGATCCAGCAGTCGTTGCCGATCGTGACGGGGTGGCCGAACTCGACGAACTTGCGGCGCGACAGGACGCTGACGTCATGGCCGGCCGTGTAGATGTTGACGTTCGGGCCGAATTGGACGCGGTCGCCGATGATGATCAGGCTGGTGTCGAGGGCGGTGAAGCTTTGGCAGAGGAATTGTTAGCGAGGAGAGGTAACTGAACGAAGACGGTCAGGGCTAACTTGAAGTTCATGAAGCAATCGCGGCCGATGCTGATGTTGCAGCCGTAGTCGGGCATGAAGGGCGGCTCGATGAAGGTGCCCTCGCCGACCCGGCCGACGATCTTCTGGAGGAGCTCGAAGCGCCGCTCGGCGATCTGCTCGAAGGGGACGGACTTGGCGTCGAGGTTGTTGTAGTCCTGGGCCACGCCGCGGGCGCGGTGTCGGCCTTCCAGAAGTTTCGGGACGTTGGGGTTGTATCTGAGCCGTCAGCATCCTTCACCAATGCGCTATCTGCACCCCGTACGGTATGCACACGACACACCAGTGAGCTTCAATGTGTGTGTACGTACAGCATGCCGGAGATCATCCGCTCGTACTCCTCGCACATGGGTACATGATTCAATCCCCGGGCGATCTCGATGATCTCGGGTCGTTTTTCGGACGCAGCGACGGACATGATGACAGTGATCTAATAAACAATGGATTGTCTGGAGATGAAAGGAAATACCCTGGTGCTTGATCTCGTGGCAGCGCGCCTATTTATGGAGGCTGGTCGACCGCGGGGTAGCGACTCCGCAAACCGGGCATCGCGCCTCTCGATTCCCGATCGGGAAATACTCCCAACTGCTGGAGTCGCGGAGCGCTTGGCGCCGATATTTCACCGCCTCACCGCCTAGTATGTCTGCCTTGTTGCCTTGCGGAACAGGCTACGGATTAGCATCCCTCCGCTTAGTGCATAATGTTAGGTTTGCATAAGTTCCGCAGCTACAACCATACCTCTCTTATCACGAGTGGTGCTAGTACTGGACTCAGTCGGAAGCTGCGTCCTTCTAGTAGTAGCGAGAGATGCTGCGAGGCATGTCAAGTAGCACTGCACACGAATGGGACAAATACGCTCTATTAGCGAAGCCACTCGGTACGGCACTTCGTCATTCCGACAGTATACTTCGAAACACATAAACATTCATAACCTACAATAAAAAGGTCCACCACAGCACACCAAAATTGTGCGACTTTTACTCCCTCCACACCAGAACCCCCCTCTCATACAACCCACTGACCACCCCCAACCCCCTCTTCACATCCCTCACAGCGGTCGAACTCGTCCCGAACTCCTCCCCTACGAACAAATCCTCCACCCGCCCCTCCACATTGCCATCCCACTCGGCGACCCAACTCGGCGCCCGCCCTCTCTCGGCAACAGGCTTACCCTTCCCATTCCCCTGGAAATCCACCGCCCAATTCGTCTTCGCCACCTTCGCCACCGCGGGGAAGAACGGATGGCCCGCCAGGATCAGCTTCCCCTTTCCGTCCGTGCTCAGATTGTCCACCAGAAACCTGGTCCGGAAGGACAGCGTCTTCTCCAGATCCTTGGTGGCAGGATCGATCCGGTACACCGTCACGGAGGGCGTCGTCGTCGACGCGACGGCCACGTGGGTGTGGTTGAGCGCTGCGATACCGTTCGCGTAGGGCAGGTGCGCGACGACCTTGTACGTGTCCGTCTGCAGGTTGGCGTAGACCACCGTGCCTCCGGGGTAGGCGGAGTAGGTCTCCAGGGCGGCGAGGAGCGGGGAGGCGCGCTGGGTGAAGCGGTGGTCGTTGGTGATGTAGAGCTCGTGCGGGGAGACGGCGAGCAGGGCGTTGGGCCCGTGCAGGAGCGGGTGGGTTATGGTCTTTTCGTGGTGGAGCGACGGGGCTTGAGGGTTGGGGTCGAGGGTGAAGAGCTCGATGGCCGGGCCGGTCGGGGCGTGGTTCGCGACGAAGAGTTGTAAGGTCTTCGGGTTGTAGGCTAGGCCCAGCGGGTGGAAGGTCTGGCGGGAGGTGGTGGGGAAGTTGGTCAATGGGAGCGGGTGGAGGTTGTTTTCGTCGGAGGTCGCGTCGAAGGTGGAGGCGTAGTTGTAGAGGTAGAGTGTTCCCGGGTTGGTGGCGTTGATGAAGGTTCCCTGCGTTGTGGGGGAGGGAGGTCAGTCGGTGGGATAAGAATGCGGGGAGGGAGGGGCACCGACCATGACGGTGTTCCAGGTGTCGCGGCCCGGGTCGCAGCTTAGGATCGCGAAGCCGCGCTGCGTGTCGAGGTGGACATCTTCGCAGTTACGGATCCGGTCTGCGAGCACGACTTTCTGGTCGGCGAATTTGGAGATCTGAGGAAGTCGGCTGGGATGGTTGTTCACCGTCAGCCAAATGAGGGTGTGGCGGTCGGTCAACCAGCCCAGCAGTACAGCTAGGCCGAGGACGATCTAGGTGATCGGGTTAGAGTGCGAGCGGCCCTTCTGAGCAGGGGGAGGGAATGTACTGTTGCTATACGTGTTGACAGTCCCATGATCTTGGAAGAAGGCTGACAGGTGACAAAAACATGATGAGAGGGGTGGGAATTGACTGCAGATAAATAAGGTTGTTTTGTTGGGAAATTTACGGGTTCAAGGCTGATCGCGTCCCCACCAGGCGGACTAGCCCTCCGTATCCCGCCCACAGCCAGCCTATCGGACTATCCTGTCGGGCCATAGAGCTTCCGTTTGGCTGGAAGATGACATGGTCTGAGGTGAGATTGATTTCTTTGATGCTGGATTGCTAATCCACGGATATCCAGTGGAGACTGCTGGTCAACATCGTATTATGAGTTTGGTTACTATGTTCGTATCGATTAGTGATCGACTTGCCTGGGCTGGGTGGGTCCCTTCTGCTGGCGCTCGATACGGAAGCCCACTGCAGCCATTCGGCACATGGAAGTATGCTGGTAGAGTAAATGATAACATAGTATGAGTGAAAAGATCAAATAGTAGATCTCTGGTAGTACTAGTACATCATACTACATAGTCAGTAGGTCCGTAGTCTATAGCCCCTCTAAGATTATATGCATGGTCCTGACTAAGTCATTCTAGATCTGCTGGTTTTCTCCTATTTCATAATTTTCTTTTCTGGGGGGCATATAATATCTCTTCAGAGAAAAGCGACAGAGGTTTGACAAGTTTGAGTTCTAAATAGATAGGGATAGAGGCTTACGAGAGCACTAAACTACGTATGCGTATACTCTCCAGGCTCCAGCTAGACCCTTGCCTTTCCGTATGCGGGATAGCGTGATCATGGCCTGCTAGTCGATGCCTTAGGCAGTAAGTTCTGAACGTCACGTGACAAGGCTGGGATGGAATCTCATGACTTTGCGAATTACGCAAGACTTTGGAGTACAACTCATCCTAAATTTTTCTTATACCCATCACAGATTGAGGTGTGGATGAACCCAGAAATTGTAAACAAACGTGCATTGCACAGGATACGAATGCCTCAGGCAAAAAGAATGTGGTTCGTCTCTGGAATGGTCACATGATGCACTGAAGCAAAAAAACTCACATAAGGGGATTCCAGGTTACCTGGTTAACTTAGTGGTGATTTTGAGTCGAGCGTACTGCTACCTCCTCAAAGCACTATCGACATGCCATAACCAATTATGCCGCATCAGGAAACAAGAGCGATCCGACTGTAAAAATTCGCATCGAGTGGATCGGTCGGTGGAGCCCTTCTGAAAGTGGATGGCCGAGTCTCAGGTACCAGTCGAGTCGTTCATCATAATAGTCAGGGTCACAGCCTTGTTCCCTTAGACTGATTGAAGAGTCTCTCTTCTTTTTCATCGCACATCCCTCTCTGCACTTTTTTTCCTGCTACACACTAATGCCATTGGAACATCATGGGTCATGCGGGTTTCTCCGCTGCCCAGCCGAGATCCTGAACTTGGTGTTTGGCATGCTTTCAACAGCTGAACTCAGGGCACTAGGCCTCGTCAATAAGGATTTATGCGCACTTTTTGAGCCATATTTCTATTCCAAAATCGATTGGATCTGGCGAGAAGATCACGCTCCTCCCCCAATCACACTACTGCTACGAACAATCATCAGCAGACCTCAGCTAGCTGCTCACACCACCAGTTTCCAATTTCAGAGCCTTCCAGCCTACTGCTGGGAGTGGAATAAGTTTGCAGGTCAAAAGATTTCTGTTCCTGTTGCTGAAATAGACGAATTCATTACATTCGTCCAGAGGACTGGGTCCCATACAGTGACCTTTGGATTGATGGATTAAGCAACGGTACTCCGGATGCTATGCTTGCTCTACTCTTAGCACAACTGTGGAACCTGAGAAGTCTGTCACTTGACTATATCTTCTGCCAGCAGACTAAAATGATTGAGATGCTTTCCAGTCGGCCATCTGCGAGCCTGCGATGTATAGATTGCCAGACTTTAAGCATCTCCAAACTGTGTCTTTCCAGTCCTATGACGATTCCGGCGCTCTGTGCACGGCGTTAAGGTCTCGAGGCCAGAGACCGTTGGGTCAATCACTTGTCCTCCCATTCTTCTACTTGCCAGACGTCCAACGCATTTCGGCCGCAATTCAGAACACAGATAATTTCGCATGGCCTGCAGCCTGCTTACCTAACCCATCCAAGCTTACCTCGATCTATCTGGCCGACATACGGGAAGCAAATATCGGCTCTCTGCTGTCCGTCACCCGCAACCTTCAATCACTTCGTTGGACCTGGTATTACGATTATGGTGTCCTCGATGCTACTGTTGTGCCCATTATCAACCTAGATGGGATCGTGGCCGCATTATCCCGTGTTCGAAATACTCTCACAGATTTGACCATCTTTGCTGAGGCTCCCATTGGGGGTGATGATCCATGCTATCCAGCCGTGAAGGTACAGGGCTCGTTGCGTGAGATGGTCGAGTTCGGCAAGCTCAAGAGACTACAAATTCCGCTAGCATTCCTGGTAGGGTTTGCGCAGGACACCACGAAACGGCTGCAGGATGTCCTCCCACGGAACATCGAATACCTTTCTCTCACGGACGAGTTAGGGCTTCAGAATGAGGATGGATATGTTGAGGAAACCTGGCCGGTCTATGAATGGCAGGATTTCGCCGTTTTGATATTATTGCGGACGTGGCTGGAGGATTGGAGAACCCACACACCCCACCTTCGAGGCGTTTCGTTGGTCTATGAAGAACTAGATACTAATCAAGGCGAGTGGCCTCCCGAGTTAAGGCACCAGCTCACGGAGCTAGGCACTCAAGCTGGTATACAGCTCGAGTTGGTTGAGTGGGTACGGCGTTGGTAAATTACTAAGCGTGCCCAAGTCATTCATAAGCCACTTTCCTACTTTCAGATATTCAAATAATTCGGATTCATTTCAGAAGCAAGACCTTCAAACCTTGCTGTTCCTGTCGCTGTTTGCACCAGTTTCCTCGTTGCTTTCGTCGGGAGAGTAGCAGAGTTGAATTTGGCTCCTCTCTTCAATACCCCCAGCGATCTCGCTTAGGTCGAACGTTTTGGGGGCTTCACTTTTATCCAGAACTTTGAGCCCATACTCCTGGACGAACAAGCTGAAGCCGAATCTCGGATACAGTAACAGGGCTCTGAGAGAAGCCTAATATACATCGCAGCGACCAATCAGCTCAGCAGCCAGTATACGGTAGTTCTTCGGAGATTCTCTTATTACCCTAGGTCTAAGAAGTCATCTCCTGTCAAAACTCGGAAGACTAAAGCGAGACCAAGATGCCTCATCTCCGAGGACATCAAAATGTCTTAGGTGTATGGGGTAGGAAGGGCTATCAGTGGCTCAGAGGCTCGATATTTAGCCTTCAAACTAGGTACACTAGCTGTCACTAAAGCTGAACTACCAGAGACTATTGGTTGCAGTTCCGGAAGACCCTGGCTGACTTACTAGCAAGTATGTCGCGGTGTGGCCCTTAGAGACTGGGGTCCTGGACACTAAGCTTAGTGCCCGGTGCCCTTGAAGTGGGACTCCGGGTCGGACCGTACCCAACCACTGCTGGGGACTGTCAAGGATTCCCGGCAATTATCTATCAGGTTTAGAGAGGACTTAGGGCTAAAGTTCAAAAACATTAGAGCTTGTTACCCGAAACTACGGTATATAATCTTTTACATGAGAATGGATCATTCTAGGTTAAAGTGGTCGACTATGGGGTAAAAGAACTCTCGATTATAGGAAAAAAACAAGTGGAAAACTGAGTCATGGCAGATTGGCGCGAGACGCTTGCCGCAGCAGGTGTCTCTTTCATGTAATCTACCTTGTTCAGGTGAGTAAGTGCACTGCACTTCTAGTCGCTCTCGCTCTCGCTCTCGCTCAAATAGGTACCAGTATGAAAGCACGGCATATGAGCCTTGCAGATGTACACCTCCTCGCACGGATCCGGGGCCAACGACACATTATCCCGGTAGTTGTCATTGAGCAGTTGCCTCTCCAGCGGGCCCTGAAGGTCCCAGATCTGCTCGCGCATCCACCGCGCTTTATCCAGCCACGCCTTGTCGACCTTCTCCGATGGCAATATCACCAGCTGCATGCCCCACAAGCCCTGCGTCATCAGCGCCTCGCGCCACAACCGCGGGCGCCAGTTTGCCTCATAGGCGTGGTGCTCAATCTCCCCGTCCGCCTCGTCCCCGGAGACCATCTTCATGGCGCCGGCCCACATACGCCTCCACCGCCGACAAACGAAGATATGATGCAACACGTGCTGGTCCATGGGCAGGTCTCTCGGGTCGATCGGCGGGGCGTAGGGGCCGCGAGCTCGCGACGGCGGCTCGAACCCCGGATGGCCGCCGTAGCACACAAAATCCGGCACGCAGTACTTGATGTACTCCAGGCGGGTGGCGATGCTATGCACGGGCGTGAACGGGGAGGGCCTTGCGCCCCCCGCCGCCAGGAACGCCTCCATGTCGCGCCCGAACAGCTCCCCGTAGATGATTATCTGGAAGGTGGCGCGGTCGGCGTCGGTGTAGAGGGTGTTGGGCTCGCTCACGCCGCCGTCCCAGAAATTCTCCGTGCTGCGGAGCCACTGCTGCCCGGCCAACTTGTCGATGCGGTCGGAGAGCGGGTTCACGATGTCGAAGCGCGCCTGGTGCAGGCGCCGGATGTCGGCCAGCGTGAGCCCCGCGTGCGCCAGGCAGAACTCGTACAGCCCGTCGATGCCGCCCTGCAGGGCCTCGTGCAGGAGGGCGGTCCGCGTCGCGTTGCCCACGGCCCACTCGCTGGCTTGCCGGGCTGTGGCGGCGACCAGGAAGTACGGGTGCGGCGAGAAGAAGGTCGGGGCCGAGGCGGCCGCGAAGTTGGCACGCAGGAGGCGGCAGCTGGACGAGGCGATGGTCAGGGTCTCAATGTTGTCGAGGAAGGCGGGGAGGAGGGCGAGGATCTCGTTTGGTAGGGAGTTAATGGTGGTGGTCATGGTGGTAGACATCGTGCCGAGAATTGCACGATGCTGAGGGGATATTGCGGCTTCAGGGACGCGCCATTATATTTGCTGTTATTTATGTCCGGAGGCCTGGGTACTTTTGGTATCATGAAGCTCTTGTCAACCACCAACCTAGTGTAGTAAGTCGATAATATTATAAAATCGTTGTGATCCCATGCAAGCTTTCAACGGAGACAAGGTATTGTTTCGAATTCTTCCTTCTGAAGAACGAAACTGCCGCTTATGCTTCTAGCAGCAATGAAACATACTAATCATGTCCATATACTTGGTGTTCAAGTCTGCTTGATCTAGTTGCTGCATCGTTAATTATCGGAATACGTTCAGCAATAATGAACAGTTTCGTGAGGAAACTTTACTTGGATCTTTTGCACAGGCTCACAGGACACAGGAAACAATTCTGGTTCGTGCTGTCATTGGCAATACAAAGTGTTGCAATCTAGGATCTCTATCTACGTACAGGAGTATGGGGTGACTGATGGACGATGTTCCACGCTCGCTGCGTAAGTTTATTTGAGGACTTGCCTAAGATCCAGCGGAGTGAATGGTGAGAGGCCTGAAACCGGAGAGACCTCATAGCCTCTTCTAGTGTCTCTTTCTCAACGTTGCATCTTCTGTACGATTCTCTCACAAGCCTTCGACTTCCATCGCCGGATACACATAACAATGCTCTTACCAACGAAGGCATAGTAACAAAGAAGATTGAAGTGGACAATGAGCATTCTTTGTTTCAACTACTTACCCATACGCCACATTGAAAGACTTGAGACAAAGAAGGAAAACAGCCCACTTCACTCGAAGAGTTATCATGGCAGCTAAGACTATACTTGTTCACTGACTTGTACACTGATTTCCGTGAAGAAAGAAGTACTCTTGTGTTTGATTGTGTTGATCTTATTTAAGCTACGGCATGCCCGAAGTCTTCTGGGTGTTGCACCTCTAACACACACAACTCAACACCAACTTTTCATCATAGCCTTTTCCAATCCCGCCCCAAATCTTCAGAGTGTACAGTCCCGAGTCGAATCCCTATAATTACTACCACAATGTCCGACATCGGGGCCTACTACAACATCATCGTGTTCAGCCTCTCCGCGGGCTACGTACTCATCAGCGGGTTGGGGTGCGTGTGCTACTTCGAAATGCGGGCCCTGGAGGACCGGGTGGGCGAGCTGCGCGACGGCGAGTGGAAACTGCATGCGCGTCTACGAGAGTACAGAGAGTCTATCAAGCATGACGAGGAGCGGCTGCAGGAGCTCGAGGAGCAGGTGGAGGAACTGAAGCAACGGCTGGCCGAGATGAAGGCGACCCAATACCCGATCCGGGTGGCGGAGACCGATGAAGAGTCGTTGCTGGACATCAGCGCAGAAATGGAGGAACGGGCAGCAATTGAGAATTAAGGCAGTGTCAAGGATCCTTCTCTACCCTATCTATCGCCCGGATGCGCTTAGTGCCTTGGTTCGTTGGGACTGCCTGGCAGGTACCGCAATCCGCAGCTTGCTGTGAGCTGTGCTCCAACCACGCTCTTCTAAAGTCACAAGAAGGTGTTTACACAAATTCAACCATTCGACAACATTTTTCTCCTTGGTATTCTCAATAAATTTTTAACCTTTTTGGTCATTCTTCTGTCTCTCAAAGAATCTTCTATGCTAGCCTACATACAGATTTAATTTGACAATCCCGCAGGTCATAGATATGATGCTCAGAATAGCAGCGCCTGTACTTACAGTCCCGTTCCATGGATTCCGACATTATATAGTAGGAAAAAGGTTGAAGGTCATCCTTTCCATTTATTCCCTCGTGTCTGTCAGACTCGCTTGATTGCTTCCGCACATATGCCATGAGCCATGAGATTTAGGTCCCAAGGCTGCGCGTCCTTAGAATAATCTACCATAATATACACAATCAACTCGCAAAAGCTTTTCTTTCTACCGACCGTTATTCCGCCACAAGAAGGAGGCAGAAAACTCTTAACTGCCCAAGCCAGACCAGCCGTCACCTTGACTGAGACATCATTCAACATCGGCTCCCTGGGACAGCCTGAGGCAGAAAGCTGGTCGAGCCTTGACTCGATCTTCCGAGCATTCATCCATGGTTTTTGTGAACCCTATGTTCTCCCTCACCTAAGCATTCATTACTTGGTGTCCACCGACATTGAAATCTCCCTTAGCCGAGCTTTCGCCATCTTTGTTCTGTCCGGGCAAGGCACAATGAATCATCCTACTCAACAATGACCGCACAATTGTCCATACATGTCCACAGCCTGATCCCAAAGAAGAATTGAAAATGAAGAGTACACTTTCAAGAGCCTTTTAAAACTTAAGCAAAGATGACCCAAAATCCTTCCATAACTCATAAAGGGGCCTACAATGGCTTTATCTTCGCTCATGGCTTCATCCGATTATCCCCGTCATCTCAGCATTGACGACCATCTCAATTCCGAAGACAAGTGTCTCAGTCTCACCTATAAAATGGGCGCAAACCACCGATGTTCAAATCCCCATCCATCCCCCATCGAGGACTCAACCGACGTGACAGCCCCCAGACAAACCATCCCACCCAACCACAACCTACGAGCCTATCTGATACACCGATTCAAAATGGTACTCCTGACAGAAGTAACCGAGGCCATGGATCCCCTCGAGGAGAGCCTCGAGAAGTATTCCGAGGCCTGCGTGCGGGTAATCTGGCGGTACGAGCACGACTGCGATGCTCGAAGCGTGGCTGAACTCAAGGAGCAGGTTGAGGCGACCCTGAGTTTGTTGCGATTCTCGTCCCAGTATCTCCGGAAGCTCGCTGCTAAGGTGGATGCTCTGCCTTTGCCCGAGAATCTGTCTCCGCCCACGGCGGATACTCAGCCTTCGCCCGGGGAGGATTCATTGCAATTCTCGTCCCAGTATATCTGGGACCTCGCTGCTAAGGTGGATGCTCTGCCTTCGCCCCGGGAGACTCTGTCTTCCCCCGTGTCTCCGCCCGCGGCGGATACTCAGCCTCTGCGCCGGGTGACTCTGCCTTCCAACCAGGAGATACAAGACTCGATGTTGCCTGACTCGCTGGATCGTCGGTGTGGCGAGAAGATCGATGCCGCGGTGGACGCCGCGGCGGCATCCGAGGAGGACCCTTGGTTCCGCGCGGAGGAGGCACGCCATCGTTACCCTGCACCAAGGGTCCACGAAAGGGGGTACGACGTCTTCGACCGCCGCCGCACGCAGGAGGACTTCTGGCCTCGCGGGTCTGTACAGTGATGACGCTCCGTTGAGGGGTTGTTCCATACGCTAGTACCTCGTTGCTAACACGGCATGATGGACTAGATTTTCAACAATCGAAATATAATCGAAAAAAGATTTTCCATATACCAGTCTTATCTATCTGTTTTTTGTAAGCTAAGTCTCCTAATATTCGAGATTGAGGTCTAGATATGGCCTGCAATGATACTAGCGCTCTATTTAGTTATACGTTTATGTACTGTAATGCCATTGCATTATGGCCTTCTCACGATGCTTTATCTCATAGTTCAAAATCTGTGATGCGGGCACATAATTCTGTCCCTTGTTGCAGTAATTGAAGTGCTCCTGTAATCTCCAATCGTTCCTTTCCATCCTTGCACCCAGTATACAAAGACTATCAAGAGTATCCGGAGTACCCAGTACATACACTACCCTTCATTCAATTTGATCTAAGCGACAAACTCCGGGGTCAATTTGACATCGGTCTTTTATCAAGAACAGATCTTTGTATAAACAGACGGAGTATTCTCCAACACAAACCTCGAAGACTCTTCCAGGCTATCTTGGATCAGGAGCTTATCCGGAGACGCTCGAGACGAAGCAATGCCGATGCCGATGCCGGAACTTTTGCTGAACAATAAAGACCCGCTTGAGCATCAAAGACCTTACGGCGTCTAGTTACGGTTTTTCAAACGTAGCCCATCCATACTCTCGACTATTTATAAAGCCACCACGCAGCCCAATTCGAACCCTCTATCTCCAACCCCAACCCGGCAATAGCACCGAGTTCGACCCCTTGCCCCCACCCCATTCTCAGAGATCCGTCATCGTTGCACCCGCCAAAATGCCAAAATGGGAGAACCTAGCCCTGAGCTCAGCCACCAAAGACCTCGAGCGGGCGCTCCTGCACCTGCGCCGCGTCCATCTGGAATTGCTGCGCGGGACCAAGCCGTGTACCCCGAAGGCGCGCGAGTTCCGGAGGCAGATACAGCTGGCCCGGGCCATCTTCGAGAGGGGGCTGCACCAGACCGAATCCGTGGAGAGGGCGTTGAGCCCCGCGCCGGTCAAGCCTGCCGGGGTCAAATCCCCGCGCCGCAGAAGCCCGCAACGTTCTAACAAGCGTCGTGTTCGATTCTCCTTTGAGATCTGAGGGGGATGCCGTTGGGGCTGCCCTTCCATTAGGGTTTGGTTATCCTTGCTCTCGTTAGTTGGTGTCTTAGTATGACACCGATGGGTGGGGCTTTTACAATCTAAAAAGTTATATGAAATATAATCATCTGTGCACAATATTGTAACGCGATCATCGAGTGTAAATCTTGCTCAGACAAGAGAGACTCATTTCAGGTATCGAAGAAGCTTAGGTGTGAGGATGAGCCTGTCAAGCCGTACTATGGAATTTTTGAACGTAGTGGTCAAATTCGGCATCCAAGTCTCGTAAACAAGCCAAATCTAGCCAATTGGTTTGCCAGTCCGCTACGATTCTTCTTGCACGCCACAAGCGATTGATGAAGTTCCCCTATAGCGTCTGTAGCAAATGTACTGTTCTTCCATGGAAAACCCACCAATTCATTGTTCTAGTGCATTACAAACTCCTTGTAACCCAAGCGTACAGTTCTTTGTCAATGACTCTCCTCCGGAACTCGGCAAGATCTATAAAAAGGCTGACGACACCACCCCGCCAACCCCTCGGTTGATCATCAACCCTCAAAACCGCACAACGGACCCAAACCCACCCAAGATGTCCGAAGCACAGACCGAGAACCTCTACGCCTCCCTCCTCGCCACCGCCCGATCCTCCGTGGACACGGTCCTGTTTCTGGAGACGATCCAGCAGGAGATCGAGACCGGGTACGCGCTGCGCACGGAGCTCCGCCACGAGAACGAGCGCGCGCTGAGCTCGCTGCTGGCGGCGATGCCGAAACTCAGCGAGCGGGGGCCGTTCGTCCGGCGGCTGGAGGAACAGGCCCAGCAGCTGACCGCCGAGTCCGCGTCGCTGCGGGAAAAGATGGTCCGTTCGCGGCGACAGCTGCCGTTGCTCAGGGCCCCCACGGAGGCGTGGCTGTGGACGTACCTGCGCACTGCGGATGCGAGCGAGCTGGCGACGAAGTTAAACCGGGGCAGGCAGCCTGGATTGTGATGGTGGTGGAGATGATGATAAGGGGCGGTAAGTTACCTGCTGCCTACCTCCTAGGTCTTACTTACCCTTCTCTTTCCACGCCCTGGTTGCTAGGAGGTAGTACCTTCTTCTCATGTGATATATTTATTGCATGAGAAGTGCTCCTACGACTGTTTTATCTTGATTATAAGATTATACAACAACTTGATTCAAATACAGAAAGTCGTGCAGAATAAGAAAATCAGCCCTTGATATTATCGAGTTAAATCGATACATAGCTTGGCTAACTACCTTAACTACCTTGAAGTTTCCCCCGCTCCTACAGCTTAGAATTCTCCCATAGCGTCTATAGCAAATGATCTGTTCTTTATCTCGTCCACATATTATCGAGTAGATTTTGGCCAAGTTCGAGAAGTCTCACAGACGCCTTTTCCCAGGGACAATGATACAATGCGAACCGAGCCTGAAGTCTCCATGAAAAAAATCCACCAATTCATTGTTCCTGTATATGGCAAAGCCTTGTAGCCCAAGCTCACAATACTTTGCGAGTGACTCGCCTCTCGGGCTTGGTCAGACTTATAAAAAAGCTCACGACAGCCTACTTCCTTTGAGCCATTGGTGAATCGTCATCAACAACAACAACAACAACAACAACCGACCGACCGACCCTCTTAACCCACACGACACAACAAGCACAACCTACTCCAAAGCCACCCAAGATGTCAGGATAAGAGAACCTCCACGCCACCCTTCTCGCCGAAGCCGAAAAGTCGGTGGACCACATCCTAATCATGCAACAGATGCTGTAGGAGCTAGAGCTCGAGTCCACGCCTCGCACGCAGCGTCATAATCAGACCGAGCAAAAGCTTCGCGCAGTGCTGGCGAGGTGGCCGAACGTCGGCCAGCCGGAGGCTTCCCTCCAGCGGCTGGAAGAGGAAGCCCAACAGCAAAGCGACGAGTCCGTGCCGCTGCAAGACGACCAGATGCTCACCTCCCGGGAACTGATGCGGTTGATCAAGGCTCGCGTTAAGGCATGGCTGTGGGAGAGCTTGTCGCCTTTGGATGCGATGCTGCTGGTTGCTAAGTTGCACGAGGGCCCTGGTCACAATGCCGGTGGCAGTGGTGATGGTGGGGATGGTGATGGTGAGCAGCGGTCGGCGGTAGATGGCATGGAAGGAGATCGTCATGTGGAAGCGCAGGATGATGAGGGGCAGTAGCTACCCCCCCTAGGGCAATACCTACTGCCTACCTAATTCCGTGCAGAACCCACCCCCGGCTCCTTTTCCCTTTCAAGCCCTGGTCACTAGTTACCCTCTTCTGATGCGATAAATCAATCGCGTGATAAGTTCTCTTATGCCCATTTTGATTGAATAATCATTCCATAACAAATCAATCCGAAGACAATGTTACGCAAAATCAGAAAATCAGCCCTCAATATTATCCAGTTAAGTCACTATATAACTACTTTGAGATATAACCATATAACCAACCCCTCTTAGCTTAGAACTTCTCCTTGTGGCGCGCCACAAACTCCTTCCACGAAGTAGGCTTGTCACTCTCATCCAACAGCTCCCGCGAGGGCGCGAGTGACTCCCCAGCGTAGTACCCGGGATCCTCCAGCAGCAGAATATTCTCCAGCATCTCCTGCGCGATCGGCGCCGGCAAGAACGACTTAAACACCTCCTCCGGGATCCGGGCCGTCTGGACCTTATACCCGGTGACCTCGTGGAACTCATCCACAATCCTCTGGGGCGAGTAGTAGTCATCCGCCGCCAGGATGCGTTGGCCCACGGCGGACGGGAAGTGCTTGATCGCCGCCTTCACGAATTTGCCTATTCCCCATCAGCCTTCGTCCCTCATCCCTCATCCACTGGAAGAATCATACCTGTATCCTCCGCCGGATCGAACAACGGCACCTGCGCTTGGGTCATATCCACCGGCCAGGCCAGCGTATAGGTGTCGCCCTGCTTGTTCAGCATCTGGAAGAAGTTGGTCATGTACAGGCCCGCCAGCACGAACGAGGCCGGCACGCCGCTGTCGCGGATGTACTGCTCGATCTCGGCCTTGCCGTCGAAGTGGCTGACGTGGGCCAGGCGGCCGTCGCTGATCTGCGTCACGTCCCGCAGCGAGGAGAAGATCAGGTGCTGCACCCCCGCGCGCTTGGAAGCGTCCGCCACCGCTTTGCCCTGCGCCACCTCGGTGGTCCGGCTCATCGTCTCCCAGAAGTTGGTCACCAGGAACACGGTGTGGGCGCCGGTGACGGCGGGGAGGGCTGCCTCTGTGGAGGACATGTCGCCCTGTTGAGAGGGGGGGAGGTTAGTGATGATGGACATGAAGTGTAGAGTAACTAGGGTGGACTTACGGTGACCAGCTCAACGCCCTGGGCGGCGAGGGCCTGGGCTCCTGGCTTGGTGGGGTCGCGGGTGACGGCCCGGATCGTCCACTGCTTGGACAGGGCGGGATCGGCGAGGACGGATTTGATGACCGAGCCGCCTTGGTTGCCTGTGGCTCCAAAGACGGTGAGGATTTGAGACATGGCGGTAGGATCAGGTGGGGAGAGGAATTGGTTGATAGATTGGCGGGAAGGTACTAGTATGGTAGCGAAGAGAAACTGTTAGTTGTGCTAATTGCTTCCCTGGTCAAGCTGGCCCAGACTGGCCATTTATACTCTTTGAAACGTCACGCCCCAAGGGACAGTTCCCTCCTTGGCATGCCTTCCCCTCGCGGGGTAGTTAGTTAGCTAAGTTATTGCCTGAGTCAGCTCGTACTCTCGGGGGACCGAGCTCATGTAATCGCTCGTATCGCCGTAAGCCCGCATGGAGTGGCTGCAGCACTTTTCCTTAATAATCACGGCGCGGCGGATTTGAGATCAAGCCCGAGGAATTTAGTCAGACACACACGCCCACACTGATTCGATACGTCATGACTGATGCTTACATACCGGAATAACTCCTCTGGAATTGAATCCGCTGCTTCCCCTCAACACACATAATCAATCCAATCACCTACCTACACCTAGAACCCTCGAGAAACTCACCCAAGAAAAAGAAAAATGACCACCAAACTCACCAAACCCATCGCCATCATCGCCGGCGCCGGACCCGGCACCGGCGCCTCCATCGCCCGCCGCTTCGCCCAGACCTACCCGGTCGTCCTCCTCGCGCGCCGCCAATCCAGCCTCGACCCGCTGGTCCAGGCCATCAACCAGTCCGGGGGCACCGCCCTCGGCATCCCGGCGGACGTGACCCAGCCCGGGACGATGGAGGCCACGATGCAGCAGATCGAGGGCGCATTCGGCGGCGCCGACTGCCCCGTCACCGTGGCCGCGGCCATCTTCAACGTCGCCAGCAAGTTCTCCCGCGCGCCGTTCCTCGACTCGGGCGCCGAGTTTCTGGCCAGTCTGGAGGCGACCGCTCGCGGCGCGTCGAATTTCTCCCAGGCGGTCTTGCCGTTCTTGCTGCGCGCTGTCGGGGAGACACCCCCGGCGCCGACGCTGATTTTTACGGGTATGTCTTCTCACGTACCTTGGCGGTCGCAATTGCAATTCGGGGAATTTGGGCGTGCAGATACCATAAGGTATGGGGAATGATGCTAATGATAGGCTGCTGTACAGGTGCAACGGCATCTGTGAAGGGAGGGTCCGGGCTGGGCTCCTTCGCCATGAGCAAGTTCGCCGTGCGCGCGCTGGCCCAGTCGCTGGCCCGGGAGTTCGGGCCCCGGGGCGTCCATGTGGCGCATGCGATCGTCGATGGGATCATCGCGACGGAGCAGACCAGGGGGTATATGACGGATAAGCCGGATGCGAAGATTGATCCTGATTGGGTGAGTGCATTGCTGTGGTTTCCGCCATAGTTACAACCTAGACCCGGGGCGTTGATTGCAATGCTGATTGGGATTAGATTGCGGAGACGTATTGGTTCCTGCATAGCCAGCCCAGGTCTTCGTTCACTCATGAACTGGATCTTCGGCCTTATTGTGAGACGTGGTGAGGGGATACCTTGGGAGTGGTTTGTAGGAGTTGTAAGATGAAGTACCGGTAATAAGCAAGAAACATAGAATATGCTTATTTACAGAAATATGGTTCAATACGACCCTGCATTGCCCTCAGCGCTACTTGCACTGATGATAGTCTATGCAACCGTCAACTGCGTGTTAAATCAACCTCGAAGTATGTAATTCATAGATGACACTGTTGGCTACAAGAGAGACTCTACTCTCTCAAAATCTTCGCGCAGATTCAGTACCACAAACCGGCACAAGGTGGCAGTCCATTGCTGCTGCTCGAGTCTCTCCCAACCCGAGTACTCACAACAGAGTTACGCCACGGCCGACCTCGCTTACCAGAGATACAATATACGCAGACTACAGCCAGTACACCTTCAAGCTCATAAAATCATAGATTAATCATAATAGATCAATCAGAATACCTCCCCACGCTGCCTAAGCCCCGTAAACCCTCCCCCTCCCATAGCCACCCCACAGAGACCTAAATCTTCTCCCCCTTATCCCCGCCCGCAACCTCCCTCACCACTTCAACATCTCCAACCCCCACCCCAACCCCCTGCTGCACCGCCACCTCATCAAACTCATCCCAATAATCGCGCGGCTCCAACCACCCCTTCCGCCCGCGATCCACCCCCCGCGGCCACCACATTCCACACAACCCCGCAAACACCGCAAACGCCACCAACAATCCGACCGGGTACGCTACGAAGTAGAACCGCTCGATGCCCAGCGTCGCCCGCACGCCCATTTGCGACAGGAACCCGTAGAAGTTCGGCGCCACGGCGATGAGATACGCCCCGAAGCCGCGCGGGTTGATCCCGTACAGATAGTAGTAAATGCCCGCCGGGTCGGCCGTGTACAACGCGGGGACATGCAGATGGCCCCGGCGGATGAGGTAGTAATCGCAGATCAGGATTCCGGCGATCGCGGACAGGAAGATCTGGTAGGAGGAGAGGAAGGTAATGAAGATTGAGGCCGTGGCGAGGAGGTACCAGGGGCAGATTGCGAAGGAGAGGACTGTGTCACCCGGACATTAGTTTGGTGCGGGGCTGTGGGGGTGGGTGCTAGAGAGGGGTAGGGCTTACTGGCGCAGATGAAGAAGCCGCGTTTCACGGTGATGTAGCGCGGCCATAGGGCGGCGATGTCGTTGCCTGCTCTGTGGGGGGTCAGTGGGGGTGGAATGGGTAGGTCAGGAGAAGGCATACGGGATCGAGTTCTCGAAGATGGCGGAGAAGACGGTCGAGTAGATGAAGCACAGCGAGATGAAGGCGCAGGCGGTGCGGTTGCCGTGGGTGTAGCGGTCGCCGTCCATGAGTTTGTCCAGGAAGGTCAGCGGGTTCCAGATGAGCTGCAATAGTCAGCATTAATACAGGTTGACGGAGGAGAAGCACCCACCTCGCCGAATATGCTCTCGCTCGACCCTGCAATCACATTACCGATGACGGCCACGAGCAGCCCCGAGACCGGGAAGCTGATGATCTGCCCCAGTATCACATCGCTGGGTTTACGTGCGTATCGCTGCAGATCCGCTGCGTTCGAGATGAAAGTCCCGCAGCTGGCCAGGCCCAGCCACAGAAACTTACAGATCAGCCAGCTTTTCTCCTGTCCGTGCACGGACGAGGACGCACGAAGTGCCGCGGGCGATCCACCTGCCAGGGAAACCACCCACGCCAGCATCGCTAACGCGCCGGCATAATACACGACCACTTTGATGTAGACCAGCATCTTCATCTTCGGAACCGGTACAACCAGGAAGGCGCAGTTGATCAGCCTTTGCAGGTTAGTGGGTCGTTTATCTATCTCTCGAGGAAAGTAACATACCAATACACCACAAAGCAGATCATCTGCGCAGAGGTCAGAGCCGACTTCGGGCCCATTGTGTCGGGAATGTGCGCGATCGAGGGGAAGATTGCGTGGAGAAACACACTGCGTGCATCAGCAAACATCATGCAAGGACAACCCCGACACACTCACTAGAGACACTGCGCACCCTGCGTCATATTCACCCCGTTCCACACGATGGACATGACCGCCCGATTCAAGGTCGGCCACAGCGCGCCCCAGACGCCAAAACTCGAGCGACAGAGCACCGGATACGGGATGCGATACATGGCCCCGGCGCGGCCGTTGATCGCCATGAGGCATCCCGCCATGAACTGCCCGCCGAAGCTGCACGCGATACTCTCCCACATGGTCAACCCCATGGTCATGCCCGTGGAGGCCGCGTAGAGGTTGCTGACGTTGGCCACCGCCGAGAACCAGAACATCACGTAGGTGAACTGCGTCCATGTCCGGTCTTTGGCGCGGGTGGGTCGGATGGAGTCATTGTCGAGGGTCTCCACGAGTCGCTCGTTCCCATCCTGATCGACGCTTTTCACCAGCAGGCGCCGGTGCAGGGTCGCAAGTACCGACATCTTGTTGTCGTTTCTGGTCTGGTTGTGCTCACCCTTGCGACCGCGAGAGGGGTTAAATACCAGTCAGTAGCCACTCTCTGGCCAGGGGTTGGACAGGGATGGTCTCCGTAATACGACCGTAGATAAGAGACAGGGATGGCACCCTACTAGCTAGGTGCAACGGTGATAAGTGGCCCACGCGACCGACTTCACTGAATCGACCAACACTTCCGGCTTATCTGCTAGTCCAGACGTAATCAGCTTATCAGCCGCCAAGGTCGGATGGCGTTTCTTGGACGACCGAGAACCAGCGATAATTAATCTCGCAGCCTTGCGGAGTGGTGGCTTGGCGGGGCGGGGTTCCCCGCGCGAGTCCTCGAACCGGATAAATACAGAACATACCTACCACCAGCACATGCATGCAGACCTCAGCGTGGCAAATCAGCTAACTCGAGTACCACCTAACAGACAAGATTCACCTACCAAGCCGAGGCTGGTCCGAGCTTAATTCACTGTAGTCTCACCATGACGACCGAATGTGAATACACCCATGTCGAGCTGCTGACCTTGAATGGGCCAGAGTACCGCCGCGTGTCGACGGCGCCTCCCCGCCTCCCCACCAAGGATGAGATCCCCGTGATCGACCTCAACCCTATCGACGGTGATGCACAGGAACGCCAGCAGCTCGCTGCCAAAGTGCGTGCTGCTGCAGAAAACACCGGGTTCTTCTACATCAAGAACCACGGCATTCCCGAAGAGCTGATCCAGGAGGCCCTCGCCCAGGCACAAGCATTCTTCCAGCAGTCGGAAGAAGACAAACTGAAAGTCGCCTCCGCCAAAATGAGACTGATGGACGGGTTTCATGGCGTCGGCAGCACGCAGATCAACAAGACCGAATCAAGGGGTAAGCTCAACCCTTCCCCGAGATCACCAACCAGCTGACTCTGAACCTACACTGATCCACCCCCAGACCGCAAGGAGACCTTCTCCCTCCGCTACAACCCCCGCCGCGACCCACAAGCCAACCCCGCAACCCTACCCGCGGACGACGACAACGACGACGACCAGGACCGCGCCCTCTGGGCCGGCACCGCCCACCTGCCAGGCTTCCGCGAGACCACGACTGCCTTCTACCAAGCCCGACTGACCCTGGCCCGCAAGATGATCCGCCTCTTCGCGCTGGCCCTCCACCTCCCGGACAGTTACTTCGACGAGCTCGTCACCCACCCCGGCGCAGACGGTCTGTACGTGCATTACCCGGGCACCCCGGACGCCCCCGCCACCGACGACGCAACCCCCGAGGTCGGGATCGGCTCGCACACCGACATCCAATGCGTCACCCTGCTGTGGCAGGACATGTCCGGCGGGCTGCAGGTGCTCTCCGCGCAGGACGAGTGGCTGGACGCCCGCCCCATCCCCGGCACCTTGGTCGTCAACATCGGCGACTTCCTGCAGCGCCTGTCCAACAACCGCTTCCGCTCCACCGTCCACCGCGTCTACAACCGCCAGGCCGCCTCGCGCTACTCCATGCCCTTCTTTCTGGGGTTCAACCCCGAGGCCGTGTGCCGCGTCGTGCCTTCGTGCGTCGACGCGGCGCATCCGCCGCTCTACGAGCCGATCTCGTGTGGGCAGGTGAGTGCAAGCTTCTCCCGTGTTTATTATGTGAAGAGGGTGTGGCTAAGTGATGTAGTGGCATCGCGATCGGTTGGCGCTGGCGCAGGGGTTGCTTGTGCGGCCTTGATTTTGGGGTTCGGGGGGGCTGGGTTAGTGAAGACGGTTGCAGGTAAAAGCTAGGAGGTGCGACTTGATCTACACGTTTCATCTGTTGTAGTAAGGGGTTTTCGTGGCATGTCTTCTGCGCTGAGCTGGGAGTATGTTACCTACTTTCCGGGTGCTATAGTCCATACTATCTGGTAGGCGCCAGCTCAGTGCTTCATGCCTATCTACGATCGCGAGCCATACATAGTATACTGTACTCTGACCGTACTGATTAGACGCAATCAAAATCGAGGATAATCTAAAACCAACCCCACTGTATATCTCCCCCCAGACAACAAACTTACCCATGCAAACGGAAATCATCGGCGACATCCGAGAGATCGCAGATAAGGGAGATACGAATGCGCCAGCTGGCAATCCATGTGGCACGCTCAGGGACACACGCCAAGCGCGATTCTTCCGATTGGTCGATAAGCTTGCATTAGTTGGCGAGATACCAATTCAGGAACGCCTGTGGTGGTTGTGTGCCAGCAAGGCAGCGGATGTGCGATACACTACACAAGTGGATATTAAGTGGTTGTGGCGCCCCGGAGAATCATGTCTGGCGGGGGTTGTTCTGTGGTCTTCTAGGGTGACTGCGCTGTCTCTGGTTATTACGATGGCCCTGGGAAGTGATGCTCTATGGAGATATGTCCTACAATTCTTCATGTCACATCTCGAGTGGGAAAGCGCACAGCATAATTCTTCTCTTCAGCGATATTAGACTGTGTGCTATTCGCACTGTACCCCTGCTCGGTCAGTCTGGTGATCTATGCGTTCATGTCTGTTGCGACCGGGTGGTATTATGTCTCCGTCGACCGGAAAGAAGTAAGTTCTCTTTAGAGACAGTCTGCTTCGTCAATGTGAAACGCGCGTATTTTGCAATCAAGGACTGCCTCAGGGCCCTATTCGGGAGAATACAGAGCGGGAGATGCTGTCCCTTTCGGGCTGTGTGAAGATGGGAAGAAGGGAGGCCAGACGGAGTTTTGTAGATACTGTGCATTGATTCAAAAATGGAAAAAGTGGACGGGTGATTCTGGTCGTCGAGGCATTTTGGCAAGTTGTTATAGAAGTTTAATTGTTAGGGCTATTCCTTGCCAGTCGGAGTTGCGGTCGGCGGATCCGTCGCGGTAGGCACACGCGTACAGTACAAGGAGATTTTGCATTGGGAGGATCTGGGCTACATTGCGTCTTACACAAACTATGATTTAAACTCGAAGTTATAATGGAAACTTGAAAGGACAAATAGATAATCAGAAGCCAGTCCTCAGACTGGGAAATAAAATTCCATAATCTAGAAAACACCCACACTGCTCCCCAAGGTCAGTAAGAGCCAGTGGTCTTGGATCAACCAGATGGGGGGCTACCCTTCGTTCAGCCTGGCGGCATCTTCCTGGGGGCAATCCTCCTGGGGGGCATCTTCCTGGGGGCAATCCTCCTGGGGGGCATCTTCCTGGGTGGCATCATCCCGCTCTTCGGCCCCCTCGAGAGCCGCTCGTAACCGGGCGAACTGATCCAACGGCTGGTGACGGCCCTCATTCATGGCGATGATACACATCTCGCAGAATATAGGCTCGTCGGGGTCGAGGATCCGGTTGAACGTGCCCGGGAGGTCCCGCTTGTTGCCGGATGCGGGCAGGCAGAGCTCCTTGTTCGGGCGGGCTTTGGCCTTGTCGCACGACAACCATCCGGCGCGGTAGAAGTGCAAGCAGCCGACGTGGCAGCGGTAGACTTGGATGCACATTTTGAATGGACGTGTTGTGGGGGGATTGGGGGTGGGTCAAACTTCGCTATGGTTTCGGTCGAGCTTGACTATGGTGATGGCAAAGTGGTTGGTGTGGGGATGGTGTTTCTGTAGCTTCTGGAGGTGGGGAGAGGATCTAAATAGTGTCCGCGATTGGCGCTCTGGGGAGATGAAGTGTACAAAGAGGTTCTTGGTATAAAGAGTTTGGCATTCGTTTGCCGGCATATTTCAATCTGGACGGTCGGCCGTGATTGGCGTGTAAGGATTGATGGAACATATCACGGAGAATTTTCTTCGTCTAGTTAGCGGGCGCCCGCATAGATCCTACGTGACGGCTTTTCACTCCAGACGCAACTGCAGGAGTGGTGATTAATTGAGAAGCGGAGATATATCTCAAACGCGCGGGTAGACAATTTATGTTGCTGGAAATACAGTTAAGTCTTTACTCTAATTCTAGATGTATATACATAGTCATGCGGTAAACAGCAGCTGAACCATGATAATACCATCTGTAGTGTTTATGATTCCTGGCCTGGTGACAAGTTGTGATGTGCGGATTGCCGTCTATAGACAGATGGCATCATATAAATATTGTGTGGTCCCATTACTCAATCAAGGCAAGATGGCCGAGCGGTCTAAGGCGCTAGGGTCAGGTATCTGATCACACATACGCTCATATGAGCAGTATTCCTAGTCACGCAAGTGGCGTGGGTTCGAATCCCACTCTTGTCATAACTTTTTGCTTCATTCCAATATTGTCTTGCGTCTGTCTTTTTGTTTGTACTGTCGCACATGTCGGCAATTCTAATCCTGGTCTGAAATTTAGAATGCTTTATGAAACGGTAGCCGAAGTGATAGCCTAGTTTCATACCATACTATCTGTACTTGATGTCGGTGTGTTGTTCGCTGCTGGGTCCTTTGGCGCGACCGCAGCAATTACACGGTCGCATGAAGTTTAACCACGTGGCTCAATCTCACCTTTGAAGCTACAGCGAGGATAAATGACATGCTTCGCTTTTCTAGTTGGCTGGACTTTTTATGTGATAGTGAATATGCACTGTACCGACCTTTGACCTGATGTCCAACCATCTGGAAGGAAGTCTTAGCAAACAAGGTTCCGAAAATATATAGCAGCCTTGTTGACTAGCGACAAACCCCTCCTACTTTCTTGAAAGCAAACCACCCATACGACAAAGCAGACTACATAACCCTTCCCAAATTCTACCCCGAGTCTGATGCCATGGTCCAGTCTTTCGAACATAATAAACTACTGTCAATCTTGCAGCAGTCTCCGAGGCCCGCCCGATGATCATCTCAGGTGTCTTGAACTGTCGGACCCGCACACGTGCAGCAAACCTGCAGCTGACAATGCAATTGCTACCTAGCCTTTAGCCAAGACCAAGACATACACTGCCAGGTTAGCTTTTGCCAGACCGTTCAATTGGCATCAAAGGTGACGCCTATGGGAGAGAATCTAAAAAGTCCTCCTTCACATGGATTGTGAAGGAGAATGAACAAAAACATTGACCTACGCAGGGCTCGAACCTGCAATCTCTTGATTCGTAGTCAAGCGCCTTACCATTGGGCCAGCAGGCCAGCTGTTGAAAGATAGTGGGCTGCCAGTATTTATGAGGCAGACATCATGATCAGCACTATGCATGTGAGCGATCAGGTCATTCCTGTGCACCGGAAATGGTTGGTATGAACTCCGCTCCGACAGCCTCCCCATTGATCAATATTCCACAGCAATGAGGTAGTTTCCTGTATGCTTGTCATAAGAATTACCAGTCTCGCTCGCTCAGTACACAGTGAATTGCCAGCCCCGGATCGAAGGCGTTTACGCATAGGGAGCAGGGGTAAACCTTTTCGAGGCTTCCGGCGAAGGATCGAGGACACTACCCTAGGCTGTCGACTCAACAGGATTTCAAGTGGATAGCTCGTGGAAAAGTTAGTAGTCATTTTGCTGATGATGAATGGACTTACTAAGCGGCAATGAAATAAATGCCACAGCATCCTTCACCGAACTAGTGCTCTTGCTATATTATGGAGAACTACAAGGTACTCCATAGGTTCACCCATCCTTATCGAATTCCCTCATATGATATTTGTACCCGCACTAGTTTTGTGTGATACCATGTACAACGAGTCAAGACCTCATGTCGCCGATCACTTCCCAAAACGACTGGTGTTGTGCTGCTCTAAAGCCTGGACCTCATGGCCATTGTCACACATTTGGCCTTGAGCTAGGGCGCTCAAGCCTGCCCTATCGAAGCCAGGGTTGCTGTATCCTTCTTAATCACGGAACCCCTGCCCTGGAAATCTGAAGAATGATCACCTCAGCATGACACATTTTTCACCCTAAAGCTACGTTTGATTTAGCATCTCCATAGCGCAAATCCTGGAGCCTCGTGCGTTCGTGCTGCGGCTCAAGGTGGTCTCGCTGCACCCCACACTTCTTGCATGCTCAACTCACTGCATAGCTTGAGATGACTCCGTGTGAAATCTGAAGGCACATAGACGGCTGCCACCTCCAGTAGTTCAGCTTCACCTTCTTTACCTTACCTGAAGACGCTGATCCGCTCGTGATGGACTTGTGCTGGGGGGACTTGAGTCGTGACGAGGGGCAGGGCACCTGCGAGTGGAGCGCCCGCCAAGCACGGCCGTCTTTAGCACTATCCCAGATAAAGCTTGGGCGTCACGAAGCATACGTATGTCGCCAGGCTCGATCGGGCTATTCACTCGGCTGAGCCTCTGATTTGGTACCTGCAGAGAGTTCCCAACATTCCTCAGCAGAAAAAGGCCCTGAGAGTGGACACAGCCAGGACTCCGGCGGCCTTAGCCGGGGCATGTACTTCCTCTGTGGGTCGGCACGCTTCTGCAGGCTCTTGCTGTATGGTTCGAGACCACCGAAGGATCAGTAGTAGACTCCAATCTTCTGCGAGGCTTTGCTCGGGCTATTGTATCTACCTGACTCTGTTGCTTAAGCTAACTCCGAGCCATGCGAGCAATCCATAGATAAAAACGTCGTCCCTCTATCGATGATCTATTCTTTCCCAAGCATCGCAATAGCCCTCCTCCACCACCACTTGCACCATGAAGTTCACTCTTGCCTCCACCTTGGCCCTGGCCACTGCAGCGCTGGCCATGCCTGCCGCCGAGGCTGAAGCTAGCCTCGAGAAGCGCAACCCCAGCGGTGCCTTCAGCCTCTACGCCTGGGGCGTCACCAGCTCAGCCATGAAGCTCTTCTACTCCGATGGTACATACACTCCAGCCCCAGGCATAAAGGCCCAAGCTGATAGTTAAACCTCCAGGTCTCGCCTACGCCGGCGACTCCAGCGCCTGGCCCTACGGCTCCGTTACCACCGATGTCACCTGTATTTCCCCCCTGCTTTTCTGCCCCTCCTTTTAAGTGTGACTAACCCCCCGCAGTCGAAATCGCCGACACCGAAATAACCACCACCGCCACCACCGACGGCGTCACCCTCGACGCGGACACCCTCTTCTACATCCGCCCGACCGCGAACGAGATCACCGAGGTCGGCTTCACAGGCAACGGCTACGACACCCCCTCCGACGCGGCGACCGACAACTTTATCTTCTACGGCTCGTGGCTGATGTGGGAGGAGGACTCCGGCGTCCTGACCGATAGCTTCCGCCTCAAGGAGACCAACGTCTCGGGTATCTATCAGTTCTACTTCGATTACTCGAACCTGTACCCCAGTGGGTACTCGATCCCCAGTGTTATGGACAAGGCGAGCTGAGTTGGGGAATGATCTTGGGGATTGGTGCGGGGACAATGGTACTGGTTGGTGCTCTTGTGAGAGTATCTATGTGCTTTGCAGTCGGCTCTAATACGCAATTTGCCGGTCGCTCATTGTCAATGAATGATATTTATGCTGCTATCTGTGTATGGGTAACATAGCTGATTCGATGACTTCATCGCTAAACTTGTGACCAATCACCTCCCTGCGATGGGTGTAGTGTGGCAGCATACCCAAGCTCCCAGTAGTCCCTAGTAGGGCGTCCCTACACAAGCCAGCAGGATACAGTACACGGACTTCATTCTCCGAACCAGCACACACTGTAGGGTTGGACTTATCCCCGTCCTGAACTAAGTGTGTAGGTCCTTGACACCATGAAAAAGATATAGAAATACAACTGCCGACCAGCAGACACCAAATCTCGAATCCCAGATATTGGGATCATAGCCGCTACCAGCTCGTCCCTGGATATAGTTCCAAGCTCGCGATCCACGGTAGCCTCCCGGCCCACTCGCCCGAACCACAGCGCAGGAAGTGCTGGCACCGCAGAATTCTAGACCCCGTTCCCGGGACTTCCTCTTTGGGTATCCCGGGCTTCCTCTAAATCGGTTCCTGGCTGTGCGTCGATTTTAGCCTGCAGAAATTTTATTTCTTGCCCACCACGTACTTGATGCTTGAGTATGTAGCTAACTTCGAAAGGATGTGATAGAGCCTCATGAGCTTGCTCGGTGTTTGGCCTATCATTAGATTCCCCCAATATCAATTCAAGCAGCGTAGACAGCTATATGCCCTAAACCGACTTGCAAGTATTACTAGATAGCCATCCCGGCCGCCCGGCCCCTCCGAAAATCTCGGGTTTCCTTTCCCCTCCCCCTTGCCCTCGGTAATGGGCTGTCGGGGAATCTCCCGGTCCACCAGCGGGACCCGCGCGCGGTGGACCGTGTACCCCGCTAACTGATTTTTTTTCTTGCAGTCTGCTGCCCTACCACCAATGGCTACAGCTAAATGAACTCACGTTTTCATGTCTGCAAAGTCAATAATATTCACAACCGTCACATCATTATCACTATATCCATTCAGAAGTAAAAAATCGCCACCGTAAATCTCCAACTCCATCTATCGTACTCTCATCGCGCCATACCCCAGACCCGAAAAAAAAAGAAAGCTTCGTAAGACCCATCAAGTAAAACTTTTACATAATCCAGCCGGGACACAAAAAATCAAATCGCGCCAACCGAATCCACCCGGTTCTCGGGCGCGATGCCCCTCCGACGCACGGAGAACAGCGCCACGAGCAGCCCCAACCCGGCGAGGCCGGCGGAGCACCACAATCCCGTGGAGTACTGGTGGGCGAGGTCGTGGCCCTTCTCGATGTCGACCGCCTCGGTGACGGCGGCGGAGATGGCGAGGGCGACGCCGGAGCCGATCTGGAA